AGCTGACCTCTCCCAAAATCACCAGCAAGACTACAACACCCAGTGACCAGGAGACAACTTTCTTGGACAGACAAATGGTCCTGGGATAAGGTGGGGTGGGGTCTTGGTTTATCTGCACTTTGAGCCTGAGGGTAGGAGCCTTAAACTCCATATAATCCAAGCCCCCAGTCCTACCCCAGTTGCACGCAGGTGAGGAAATGTTCTCTTTATCTGCACAAACTCAACCTCAAGGACAACAGCAACAGATACACACAGCTGGCACAAGATGCCAAGATGCGTTTTAAGGTTGGCAGGCACCGGAGCCTCCTTGCTGGAAAATGGCAGGGATGCAATTCTAGGCAGCTTGTCTGTTTATTCCCCCAAGTCTCTTGGCACCTAATGCCAGAGGGCAAGTGCCTGACCAATTTGTGAGTGGGCCTTGGGCCAGCCCAACAGATGGGTAGCGGGGAGACAGCCAAAGGGAACATGGATTGGCTTCAAACGCTGCTCCTCTTTGAGGGTAGAGTTCACAAAAGCAACGGACCGGCGGAGACAGCCTAGGAGAGGAGATCCAGGAGGCTTCCTATCCCTGGCCCCTGTATTTCTTCCACACCCCAATCCTTACCCTGCTGTAATAGGTATAAATACTCAAAAACAGATGTCCCCACCTCTTGAAAACAGGCCCATAGAGGCACAATGTTTTCTGGCGGCGAGAAGTGCCACAGAGCTACAGAGGACAGCAATGTTCCAAATGAGTCTATTCTGAAGCCTTCCTCTCATTTCCTTCTGTCCATTTGGGAGAGGCCAAGTGGAAACGCTCTGCCTCTCATCTTCTCCTGCCCTTTCAATTGAAGCCCACTGCCAAGGAGTGCTGGATGGAGGGATGCCATTCAAAAGATGCCAATGCCATGAGTAGGCAAGAGGAGGCAGATGAGAAAGGCTCTGCCTTGGTTGGCCATCTCTGCAGCTGCCGGCAAATGCAAAGGGACAGCGGCATGGATCTGCCCGAGAAATGAACTCATGCTAACAGCCCCATCTGAGCACATGCCTTCCTAATCAATACCGCCTGTTTGCATTGATCCCGTTCCTCCCCAAAATGGAAAGATGATGAGAAATTGAGCTGCATCAACCTCCAGTGCCAAAATATTGGTTCCTTCTTCCTGGTACGAAGAGGCAACCTCCTTCCCACATGGTGGGCTTGGGTAGGAACCAACATTTAGACAAATGTGGGATTTGAAATGCTTCTGCTCCCAGACTAGAGTGGTAAAACAGTGTTTCAATTTGAGGGCATTAGCCATCTCTTACCTAACTGTCTGTTGAGGAAGGGAGTCTTCTAGGCTACATCAACAGAAGTTCAGTTACCTCTCTCAATCACAGGGGATTCGTTCTGGACTCCCCCCCACACACAAATTGGGAAAATCACCCATATTGGAGCCCCATTGATTCCAATGGAGGTGCGCTCCTGTGCCTTGGGCACGTGCACCATTTTATCCCCCACAGCTTGCTGTCTGAGAAGGAATGAGGGATGCAAATAGCAAGACCACGACTGGTGAGGGATGAGTGTCTAATGTCTAGTTCCAGTAAAGTCATAGTGTCACTCTATTCTGCTTTGGTCAGACCTCACCTGGAATAATCCTATTTCCAGTTCTGGGCATCACAGTTCAGTTCAGAAGGATATTGAGAAACTGGAGCATGTCCAGAGGAGGTGAACCAAAATGGTGAAGGGTCTGGAAACCTGGAGAAGAGAAAATTAAGAGGTAGCATGATAGCCCTGTTTAAGTAATTGAAGGGGTGTCTTGTTGAGGATGGAGCAAGCTTGTTTTCTGCTGCTCCAGAGATTAGGACATGGAGCAATGGATGCAAGCTACAGGAAAAAAGGTTCTACCTAAACATTAGGAAGAACTTTCTGACCATGAGAGCGGTTCAACAGTGGAACACTGTCCCTGGGAGATTTTGGTGGAGTCTCCTTCTTTGGAGGCTATTTTTAAACCAAAACTGGATGGCCATCTGTCCCGGGGGGGCTTTGAGTGTGTCTTCCTGCATGGCAGAAGGGGGTTGGACTAATGGCCCTTGGGGTCTCTTCCAACTCTAGGATTCTTTGATTCTTTGATTCTCTTCCTCCCGGTTTAGAGGGCAATGAGATGGTGCCGTCCCTGGAAAGAAACAAGAACCAGATGGCAGCTCTAGCATTTGCAGTTCCCTAATTCTACTCATGGGTGAAATGATTTCACTAACTCGGGAATTTCCTAAGTATTCTTTCAGTTTCAAATGCGACAAGACTCTTGCAGCATCCAAATGTGGGAGCTTTAAGAAGGCATCAGCTATTCAGAAAATCAAAGTGAACTCTTTTAAAAAAAAAAAAAAGCATAAAGTAAAAGACAGCCCAAAGTTTTTAAAAGGTACCCTTTTGATTTAGATAATGCAGCTGAGGCTCATGGGGGCTTGGTTTATTTATCGGAAGCGCTGCGTTTTCTTTGTTCAGCACTGATGTGTTTGTCTGGAATTTTGCAGAACGATCCCCAAATGGCTTGCTTTTAAAATGTCCATTTTGTGGATTCATCATCACACAGTCTGAGTGTTGGCACAGCGGTCGTTGTGTCTCTGTGATGTGGAAGGGCAGGGATGGGATGGAGCATTAAGACAAGAAGAAGTCTAAATGCAAGGAGTGGAAATAGACTGCATTCTCATCACTTATTATGGCCTAGAAATGAAAGAAGAATTTCATTGGATTCAGCAGTCTCAACTAAAGTTAACATTTGCACACTTTGTTTACCACTCCAGGGAAATGAACACCTTGCATTTGCACATTTGCAAGGTATATGGAGCATTTCTACAGAAAACAATCTCCATATTTTGAAACATGGATGGCCCTAGATGTGACCCTACTACATTGGAGCTGCATTGTGTAAATGCAAAACCCAGTGCTCAGCCATGCATAGGTCCTCATGCACAAAAGTACTGTGTGTGTAAGTCCTTGAGCCCCAGGTTTAAGTAAAAGGCAAAGTATAATTACCGGTAAAGAGACAGACAGATCAATCTCCCCATTCTGCATCAGACAAAAATGTCCACTTTCCTTCTTTGGTACAGGTTAGGTATGCATAAAAGATCACCAAATAAATGCCCATGGATTCTGGGATTCTGTAAAGAGATTCCATAGAGCATCAGCATAATGTAGTCATTTGAGTGTTGGAATTGGACTCCAGGAGACCAAGGTGCAAAGCCCTTCTCAGCTATGGCAATCCAAGTCATGCTCTCTCAGCCTTAGCTCCTCAGAATAAATCTGGCCAAAAAATTCCCTAGAAGAAGGTCACAATAAGTTAGAGTCAACCTGAAAGTACATAATAAGAGAGGCAGCATGGTGTAGAGGTTTGAGCATTAGGACATTGGCTGCATCTGCATTACAGAGACAATGCATTTTGACAGTACTTTCACCACTGTGGCTCAGTGCTATGGAATAATGGGATTTGTAGTTTGTTGTGGCATCAGAGCTCTCTGACAGAGAAGGCTAAATGTCTCACAAAACTATAAGTCCCAGATTTCCATAGCATTGAGCCATGGTAGTTAAAGCACTGTCGAACTTCAGGACACCAAGATTCAAATTCCAGATCAGTCACAGTGACCTCCTGGGAAAGTCACACTCTCTCAGCTGAACTGGAAGTCATGGGCAAGCCTCCTCTGAAGAAATCATGCCAGGAAAACCCTATAAGAGGCAGCATTTTATAACGGGTCAAGTGCTGGACATTTGTGAGAGTCCAGGGTTCAAATCTCCCTCAGCCACAGAACTCTACTGGGTAGCATTGGACAAGTCTCTCAGTATTATATGAGGGCAAATCTCCTCTTAATACAACATTCTTCCCAAAAAAAAAAAAAAAACCCACAAAAAAACCCAAGGAGAGGGTCAGCATGAGTTGGTATCAGCTTGAAGGCACCCAACGACAACTACGACAACAGAGAAAGAGCTGAGTGTGGCCTTTTGCAAGGCTGGAACTTATCAGTGTTTCTTGGCCGCCCAGTTGGCTTCCATGCCTAAGTATATAGCAAGAGGTTTTTCTCTATAGAAATTAAGCCAAACCTCCAAATGGAGGATTCATGTTGGTCTGTAGAATAGGTATATAGAGAGATCTTGTAGCATTTTTGAGACTCAGAAAGAAATTGGCAGCAGGAGCTTTTCTAGACTTAGGTCTACTGCACCAGATGCATCCGAGGAAGTAGACTTGAGTCTAGGAAAACTCATGCTGCCAACTTCTATCATTCAGTTCAGCTCAAAGGTGCTACAAGATCTCTCTGCTACCCAAATGGAGAGGAGGAACATGGGCATGGAAGAAGTTTTCTCTTGACCTCAAGGAGGACTTTGCCTTCCAGGGCTGGGCTGGCCCACCCAAGGTCTTCTTCACATTGGGCTTTGCTTTCCTCTTTCCTCTGGCTCAATGTTCTCCTGAGACCCCCAGAATGTGCCATTGCTTCCAGACAGGTGCGAACGCTCTGGGCTTCACCTCCAAAAGGAAGGGATCCCCGATTGCCTTCTATGGAG